TTATGGCTACAGTCCATAAGAAACAAATGTTGAGCAGCTACTATTTCACTCCACCTAATTTTTATTGTGTGAATAACTTTTGGTATATCATTTTTATTCTACCTTACAGTCCTATATGTGTACATACATACGTCTTATGATTTACCTAAAAATTTGCGAGTTGCGGTGATTTGTATTGATTATCAGTGTTGAGCCAGTAGTATTAATTTAAAAGTAATGTTAGCAATAACGCAACAATTTGAGAACTAATCAGCATATCTTTATATTGCTCAATTATTACTGTCCCTTTCCCTGTGTATATGATAGATTAGAAAACAGTCACTTTGAGATTCGCACAACAAAAATAATTTATATATTAAAATATATGTATAGTTAGTCAACTATCATCATATCAGTTTTGTCGATATGTATGCAACATCTGTCCAGTTATTTTTAGCATATCTATTTGTTACTAAAACTAATAAACACCAAATCATCAAAATATAATTTGAAATATTGTGGTATATTAAAATTATGCACCAAGGGAAAACTTGAACCAGAAGCTACATCAAATGGAAATGTTGTAAAAGGTGAATCTGATTACATATTGCTTATCTGCTTCCAATTAACAGCTATACCTTCTTTTACGATAAACTCTCATGTTTCAGAGATCTTTTGTTTATAATGCCATTAATTTATATAATAATCTTCCAGTTGATTCAAAGCAAATTAATTCAATACGTTTTTCCAGGTCCAGTAAGCAATTATTTTTGTCATTATCATAGATGTGAATAATACTAGCGATTTGTATGAAATAAAGTAATTTTACTTCAGATTATTAAGCTCCGCTATTATGTAATTTATTATGTATTGTGTTTTATTTCTTTAGAGTGTTAAACTTTTATTTGATAGAACATTATTTGATTTGACATGTTATTATTCCTTTTGTTTGGGAGAGTAACTGGTTAAGTTACTCTTAACCAGTTACAGTCTTGGGAACAGAATAGTCTTGTGCTAAACTTTGCCAGTTGCTCTCCTACCTACATTATCTAAATAAATGCTTATTATTATTATTTTTCGATAAACATTTCGACAATTTGAAACTTAAAAAATATACCAAATGTATAAATATCCAATATGCGTAATTTCATTTTCTGAAAATAAACTATCTATAAAAATACACTTATTTTGCAAGTTTATAACACTTTGGCACATATTTCACTAACCCACAAAATAAGAGAAAAACTTTAGCTTTTATATTCTTATTTTCTATTATAAATCCCTCGCACATATCGAGGTTGCCCACTATAGTGTTACTCGGCAAGGTGTACACAATATGTTTTGTGCTACCGGATATAAAATCAGCTGTAAAAATTAAAAAATTAGTGATATTTGAAAATAAGTTGCGAGAATGCTGCGAATTTATTTTTCGGCCTAGAGAATATAATTATTTTCACTGGCTCATTTTTCGTCCAGTTACACGAAAAACATTTTTTATTTAAACAATCCTTGATCAATAAATATATCAATAAATATAGCTCTTTAAGCACTTCGATCGAATTAATAGGATTAATTGAACAAAAACGTGATAAAAATGGCTTAAAAAGATTTTGAAATAATTTTAGTATTTCATCGTTGTTTTTATTTATTGTCTGTTAGCTATGGATGAAGGTATGGATGAATCTTGAAACACTTTTCCAAATGAAACGAACGGTCAAGTCCGAGTATGAGCGTTAAGTGAGAGGAATGACTTGGCTCATTTTAAATGAGCTTAACAGTACGTTGTCTTACATTGAAACACTTTCGGTGCCTTTAATTCAGTTAAATCTAGTTCCCATATGTTTACACCGGTGATCTATTTAGATACAAACAAGCAAATATCTGAAAAAATGGCAGCAACATTTTTTCACCTTAATTTTATTTTACCTTTATGAAGATCAACACTAATATTTAGAAGGCATCTTACATTTTTAAAATTTTGATTTAAATTTCGACCTAAAATTTCACGAGAAATTTCGAAAAATTTTCTGTTTTTCTGAAAATAATCACAACTCGATAATACATACTTCTAGAAGGCGTATTATGATTATAAAAACGATGTCGGTAGAAATCAGTTTGACGTTTTCAACAATACTTAAACCATCCAGTATTTAGTGCCTTAGTTTAAACACTTTGCATTCAAGAATATTAATATAAGTATAAAATATCATCAACCTCAGCTAACAGCAACGAATGTACAAACATTCGTATCAAGAGAATTAAATTAAACACATTACATTAATGCTTTGTATTAGCGAACGCCTTTGTACAAACAAGCTTGTTCAAAAGTCGTTAAAAAATTAAATATACTCGAAATCAAACATTTTTACACGTTTGCACTACTTTGTGGAAATTGTAACAATTCTCTTTCTTTAGGTGCCGTCTTCGATCTGGAGGTTGGCAATCATCAGAGCAAGTCTAACTTTTGGGACCACCGATCTGCATAGTTCGTTGCTGGTGCAGCCAAACCACTCCCAAAGGTTCTTCAGCCAGAAGTTACGTCTTCTTCCTATGGACCTCTTTCCCAGAATTTTTCCCTGCATTACAATTATATCTATTTAAAAATATTATTTAAGCATAATTATATTGATTGTTAGTCCTTTTGACAAATTCTGTTCTTGCAGGGCCAGTGATACCGTATGGCGTATTATTAGACTGTAATTAAACTTTTGGCACCATTTCGTTTGGATTCTCTGCATTTTTTTGCGTGTGCTCGTTCCGTCAATGAAGAGTGCATAAGAGAGTTTGATGCAGATGGTGTTGGTTTTCCTCTCTTCAGAACGTTCATTTCATTTCTAAATTTTATGACTCCATGAGCTACTTGTGATCTGAAATTCTCACCTTTCATTTTTCTGCTTCGTATGTCGTATATAGAACAACCGCCATATCGTCTCTACCATATAATGTACGTCAACACCTCGCATATAAATGTTGTAATTCTTGACAAATCGGATGTCATTACATCAATATCTTTTATCAACTTCATATGATTATGAATTATGACATCATATAATTAATATATATAATAAGATTGTGTATACTGTCCACATGATGATCAAATGAGCCTCAGGTACAGATTGGATTCTATTGCAAAAATGCCTTGTTCCTTTACACAAATGAAATAATAAATCAATATTTAAATTATAATACTCACTCTTAAGTAAATTATCACAAAATAGAAGTATTTTGTCACCACTAATACTCAATTCTCTGCCTTTTCTAACATATATTTCCAAGTCACAAATGAGTCTACTAGATCCAGCTCTAGCAAACGTTTTAACTCCCCACTTATGGGACTTATTCCACACAAATTGCTTCAGTGATGAGCAATCCTCATAAGTCATCCTTTAAAAGTTTCGTTGATTAGATTGATGATAGGTAGCATTAAGTGGTTTAGGATGTTGGTTAAGATTTAGAACACTAATTAGTGGACTGAGATGTCACCTCTGCATAACTAACGTGTGCATTATTCAAAGGATTTTTTTATTAGTAGTTGTTGAATAGTGTTCTTGTGCCTGGGTGGAATGGTTTTGAGATTCATAATAAATAACACAAACCTTTACAGCTTCTGGAATGATTATGTCCGCAATTTGTGCATTTTACATTGTAACTTTTTCTATCTCTTGGACACTGTGAAGTGAGATGTCCTTCATTGCATTTCACGTTGCGAGGTTCTCTAAAGCAGTACTTTCGTGTGTGGCCAAAGTATTGACATCTTAAGCAGCACGGTATTTTTTAGGGGTGTTTTTTTAGTTGATTGTCACTACTACTATATTTAGAAGGTTTGTGACCACGTAAGAAACAATAACTTACACCGTGGGACTTATTTTTGACCAGTATACGTCATCTGAAAAGTAGTACAGTTCGACACCAATGATTTTTTTTTTGGTTTTGAAGCAAGGCATTATGTTGCTTAAACGACTGTTGACTAAAAAACTTTTTGTATGCGGATCTATTAGGCAAAACAGAACTTTTTTCAGGTGTTTATGAAAAAAGAATGTTAAATTGAGGAAAGATGACAAGTAGTAAACGCTACTAACTAAAGTAAAAAATGTAATACGATGTTTTCTCACATCCACAATAAAATGCTAAAAGGCTGTTCGTGCTATAACAGAAAACAGTGTCAATAACCGAAATTTCCCCGAATTTACATAAAGATATAAATAATAGCAATAAATTACAGGTGTTAAATAAATTTTCTAAAAATCGTCTATAACCCACATATTTTTACACAGAGGTCGCATAAATAAAGTAATAAAGTCATAGAATTTTATTGTATTCAGCGATCGCTTATGACATTTTATTAACGTGCCAATAATTGGATACTTTACTATACGATAAAATATCACCACGTCCTACATAAAAACGTTTAACAATTTGAATAACTTATTTTGAATTTTTTCAACTATCCCGTAATATTTTCAATTCTTTAATATCGCATTCAATATCCTGCGATGACAAATTTAAAACATAGTTAACAAGATATTTGTAAATAGTAATTAAAATGCCATTGAAAATGAGATTTCCAAGATCAATTTTAATTAGAAAACCTTATAAATCATCTTATAATTACCGGTTTTATTAATTTACAATTAGCAACTGAAATTTTTTATTTTACAACTTTCCAACTTGCTTTCTAAATGTTTAATAAAAATATTAAATAAAAGCACTTTATTTATGTCATTTTTTTTTAATTTTACGTTTAGCAAAGATTACAAAACTACAATAATAAATTATCTCTACATAAAAGATTTTTGATCCAGAACTTTCGAATTGGATACTTTCTAAATCATTAACCATCAGTATTTTTATCATTGTTTCATTAACATTTTGCTGTAACAAACGATTTATGACGAATCGGTTTTATTAAGTAATTAGAAGAGGAATTTAGGGGTCGGTGAATAAAGTTGTGGTGGGCAGTAAAACTTTTTGGTCCACACTCACACCAGGTAGAGACCGGCGTAGCTTTCTTCTTCTTCTTTGTAAGTCGTCGGCAGCTTCAGAGAACAGTCGCCCCAAGATCTTGAGCATGTGAAAATCGCGCCCGGTTAAGTTACTTGCATCGATAAAATATTTTTTTTTTAATTCCTGGGTCATATTTTATTTTCATCGAATTAAAAAATAACTTTTTTGTGAACTGTGCAACATAGTTGTTTAATTTATTCTTTTTCTTAATTTTTTTTGGATGATCTTAAAGATGGTAAGTAAATTCTTCTAGAAACTAAATTCTTCTAAAATAATTTTAGTAAATTTATGTATAACTCAATATATAAAATAATTTTGGATAAAAAGAAATAATTATTATATATTTTTGTGAGTAAATTTCTATTAGTTTTTAATATCAATTTAATAACTTTGCGGTTTAGAAAAGCATATAATTGTTGTGTAAAGAATTCATATTAAACAGATCATAACCGATTTAATTTCAATTTAAATCAGATAAACTTCTAACATAAAACAAGTTCTTTAAATACTTGATGATTAAATCTAGAACAAGTAAAAAAGAAAGCATATTGGAACTGATCCGTAAAGGTGTAGTGGAACTAATAATCATCTCTGAAGGTAATTTCCTTTTCATTCTTCACGGGTAATTCCTTCTGACTCCGACTTTCTTTCACAATAATTTAAAATTGCAATAATTCCATTAATTATCTTCAGTTACATTAACCTAAATCAACACCAATCGAATTTTTTTATTTCTTTAAATTAACATTAACATTGAAATCGTGTTGTTACGCTTTAAAACAAATGAATATTTATTAGAACCTAATTTACAAATTTTATTCCATCCCCGTATTAAACTTGCCGTATGTGGTCCAGATATTATAATTCCTTGTGAAGGTCTCGCCATTTGCCTTCTTGTGGGGATTTAGAAAGGCTCAAGAGTAAAATTTTAAAGATACGCGAACCAAGCGGTCGTAGACTCGATATATCTTACGTAATCCATGTCGGTTGCCGCAAAACTAAATCTACCGTGAAGAAGTGGAACGAGAGTTAAAGAGTGACCGGGTGAACCATTAAAAGTTTCCCCGATACTATAATTACAAACATCTTTCACACGATAAAAACCGTGACTATTTATAAACTTTCATACAAAAAGACATTTAATTTTAATTTCGTAACGGACTTAAATGGTCACATAAATATGACTATTGTGTCCAGAAGAAAATGGACCGATTTCGAAACATTCCTTCAGTACTTTTGTTGCCGAGGATAAAAACTTCCTCGTGCTCTACTAGAAACTTTTAAACCACTTAAAAAAATTCATTACGTAACTTTTTCGCTCGATATTTTTGTTGATTAATAGCCTGTTATAGATTTTCACCTAAAAAACAGTTTGACATACTTTTACTAACACGCCACATACAAAGATTAAATGTTAAAAAAAGGTACACTTGAAATTAATTTCATGATTGAGTTATTGCCGCTTAAATGATATTTAGAATTGCTTTCCAACTTTCGTTCTGTCTCATCTCATCACTTTCCGGTTATGCTCTTCTTTCCAAGTTGCCACGATTTCTTTCCCGACGGTTGATTTTCTTTTTGCATTGACTTTCATATCGCCTTTTATATCTTACTTGTAACTTGCAACAATTGCACGCTTAAAACGCTTAAGAAAGTTTAAATTAAAAAAATTGAATTATTACTTATGTTAATGTTATGTAGGTTAATAACTAACAGAAAATTGAAATTCTAAGACATCTTGAAACAACTAATTTTCTCTTTTCAATAGTCATGACATTTAGACACACGCACATTTTCTCTTTTCGTAATAATTTCTCAAAGTAAAATAAAAAATGGGACAGTAATTTTGTGTTAAAGGTGTTAATAAAACCGAATTTTACGCTAAAAGCCACGTTTTTTTTTTCAACCCAAACTTTTTCTTCTCACGAAGCATTGCAGTCACTTAATTATTATTATCGACGTGTAGCAACATGTTATTGCGACATTACGGTCCACGTAACAACGATCCGTTTGTCTCGGACCGTTTTCTTTTACTTAGATACTCATTGGCCTTAACATTTGCAACTCTCTGCCTCTTTTGTCTTATTACTCAACGTTTATGTATTATTATTCAATATAACTGTAACACCTACGATATAATACAGATTTTTTTTCTACAATGCGTTGACTCATTTATTTTTTCCAACTTGTTAAGAAATAAATTTGTGAATAATGCACTTGTAATACAGATTAAAATTACAAATTGTTAAGTAATACTGGTTTGTGTTAACATATAAAATGGTAGTCTTAATGATATAACCTTTTGGTAAGCGCAAATACTTTCATTTCATGTGCAGACATGTACTGTACATGGGTAAATTGCTTCATTTTTAAGAAATGAACATTTTTTCTTTGAAATATAAATTAATATCATAAAATATATATCATTACATTTACTTAGTCGACCCTATTTTTGATTTTTGTCTGGCCAATGCCATTCTTGTGGACAATGCTGCCCAAATCTTTAAATGTTTCTACTTGACGAATTTTATTTTTGTCATCTATGAAAATTTCGAACTTGGCATCCGTATTCGCAGGAAGGTATTCAGTCTTCTCAAAGCTCATTTAATATTTATTATGTAGTCTTTTCAACATAAACTCCATGTCATATACATTCTGTGCTATATAATTGCTTGGTCGTTGGCGAAGCTCAATATGCACAAATACGTGTTATTCTTAGAAATGCCCATATCTTGACATGACCTCTTCCACTCTTTTATTGCAGCGTGTACATAAAAATTAAATATAATATAACTTGATATATAAATAACTTGATTCCGTGTTTAATATAGGCGATATTATCATCATACAGATCTTGGATGATTTTCATAAGATAAGCAACTGTGGTCCTATGCAAAACATAAAAAACGTTGTAGCTCGTATGCAACACGATGGCAATTTGGCAGTTGGTGGTCACCAAATATCTGAACTATTCGTCTCTTTCTTTAGCTCGGTTTTCATTGAGAGTGCACTTAAGCAACAACCACGTTCTACTGTAAACTGCAGCTTCCAACCTTGGTTCTCAACTGAGGATGTGGCGCAGACCCTCACTCGAATTGATAATAAGATGAGTTCAGGTCCTGATGGGTTGCCAGGTATTTTCTTAGCGACATGCGCCTCCGAACTTGCTAAACCGCTCTTCATTATCTTTAGTCGCTCATTGGCTCAATCAGTATTTCCATTAGAGTGGAAAAAAGCGTATGTACTTCCGATCTATAAGAGTGGAGGAAGAAATTGTGTTTCAAATTACCGCCCTTTTTCTATTCCTCCTGTTTTATCTAAGATTTTCGAAAAAATTGTTTATGATAAAATATACCGTTCAATACAACCATTTATTATGCAGCAGCAACATGGTGTTCTTCGTGGACGATCTATAGAATCCAATCTCGTGTCTTATATAAATTACATTCAAACTTGCCTGAATGAAAATCACCAGGTCGACGCTGTATAGACTGATTTCAGTAAAGCCTTTGACAAGCTACATCATGGGGTACTCCTGACCAAATTACAAAAATTTGACTTGACTGATGGATTATTAATGTGGTTGGCGTCTAATATCTCTGATAGATGCCAAGCTGTAAAAATTAATAATTACATATCTAACTTTATTCCGGTAACTTCAGAAGTGCCTCAGGGTAGTGACTTGGGTCCGGTTCTGTTTGTGGCTTATATAAACGATATTTATGAGTGCTTTCACCATAGAAATTTTTTGCTATATGCCGATGATTGCAAAATATTTTCCAAGATTGAATCTTCTTCTGATTGCGAAAAACTTCAAGGGGATCTTAATCGTTTGCAGACCTGCTGTACTAATAATTATCTCTTTCTAAACTATGGTAAATGCAGTCAAATAACGTTCACCAGAAAAAGATACACTGTAAATCATAACTATAGGCTTAGACCCGGACCTCTTAAGTGTATTGTCTCCGGTAAAGGATCTTGGCTTAGTGCTCGATTCCAAACTGTTATTTTTATATCATATAGAGGAACTTATCAATAAGGCGAATAGGAGCTTAGGTTTCATTATTAGAATATCAAATTCATTTACCAATGTACAGTGCATCAAATCTTTGTACATGGCTTATGTGAACAGCATTCTTAATTGTGCTTCAGTTGTATGAAATCCTGCGTATGCTGTGTACATTGACCGCATTGAGGCCTTGCAGGTCAGATTTGTGCGTTATCTGCCTCACAAATTCGCGTTGTCTTATTGCTCCTACGAGCTGAGATGGACTGTATTTGGTTTGCGTACACTGCGTGGACGTCAAGCTGCTACGGATTTTGTATTTTTGTTCAAACTAATGAACGGTTTTGTCGACTAGCCAGAACTTATGAGACACATTCCTTTCTTATTTCCTAGCTATCCCACTCGAGATCAATGTCTTTTCCGGTTGCCCGCTTCTACTACTAATTGTTATTATAACTCGCCTTTACCGCGATTGATGCATTGTTATAATTGTCATTCAATTATTGCTTGTTGGCGTCTTTCCGCAAGAGTATATTGAGTTTGAATATCTGTCATTCAATATCTGGGTAATTCGAGTTCAATCTGGTTTGTATTATTAATTAGAAACACTATTTTTATTTTTTTTTTTTTGTTATATCTAGAATTTGTTATTTATTTTGTTATGAAAACCTAGTAAAAACCTAGTATGTTTTTATGATGTATTGATTTGTTATTAATTATTTGATTTTGTTACATTTTGATTTATTTTTTTGTTGTTGTATGAATTCTTTAGTAGATATTATTGTGGGGAAAACCCTGTTCGTATCCCGAATAAAATAAATAAATAAAGAAATAAGGGCTAACATCAATAATTGCTTAAATAGATGTCATCATCTTACTGCTTGGTACGTTGTCGTAGGCTTTCTTTAAGTTGATAAAAGTAATGTGTATTTCTCTAATGTGTCTTTAGCCTGCATTTTCTCAATTAATTGCTCCGTGTATGATCTTCGCTAATTATTCCACCCACTAAGGTTTATATTGCCTTTTTTGAAAACAGATTTTATAAGTGATACTTTCCATTCTTTTGGGTTTTGGTAAAGCAATATCTCATCCTCATACTTAATGATTTCTGCAGATATATTCCCTGGCTCCTTATTGTTTCTTTCATAATCTTCTCCGTGTTGCACATTTTGCAAGGATAAATACTTTTTATATTTCTTATTCTTCTCTTTTATAAGTATCTTTACATC